ATAAATATTACTGCAGTTTAAGTGGGAATAAGAATGAAGCTTGACGTATTCCGAAGCCATTAATCCCTGAATGGAAACTACTGTAACATAGAACAAAATGTGTTCTTTACTTACCACCGTTGCAGCATTCATTAGAGAAGTAGCTAATTCAGCTTTTACGAAAGCAGATTTGTCTTCTGCATTTTGTCTCCATGATGTTTTCGTTTCGTGTGCATCGAAAACAAATTATTCGGGTTTGGACCGTCTTCGGTGCTCGCTTACATTTCCGGCTGTCAACTGGACGGAAACCTGAAAGATCTAGACATGAACGGTTCTTTGTAAGTTACAACAATAAGAAAAAACTTATGGTATTTCTAATATCCCTCATTTTTCTTCTCATAACTGAATTTTCTATTTTTTGCTGAATCCATCACAAATAGATTTGCAATTGTTTTGGTTTCACTTGTCTTTGAATTCCCTTGAAAACACCTTGAGCTTATTGAATACAAAACCATTTGGGTTGCCCAGAGGAAAGAATCGAAAGCAAGGGAGATATTTCCAAGAGAAAGATCGGCGAGGTCGGGAAAATTTATTAAAGTTGTCAAATTACAAATTCAAGGCAACCAAAACAGTCATGAAGCGACGTAGTATTTTTCAAACCGGGATAAACATATTGGATCTCATGTCTAAAAAAGAAGAAATATCGATTAATGTATCTTGTACATGAAGAAAAATCGTACCTGAGCAGTATGCGGAATTTGTAAGGTTTTCAAAACTTCACGATGTTGTTGATGCGTCGAATTTAGCCGAGCGCGATTAAATTTCGCTTTGATCTTTAGACAAATCGATGAGCGACAGGGCGACAGGTGAACCAAACCAAGCCTTATGCAAATTAGTCAACAAAATCTTCAGATGCATAACATTATCCTCTGCTCTAAGGATCGTGCTCTCGCAGCAATAGAAAATCATAAGATGAATTAAAGCTTCTCGCGCGGAGACCTCTTCCACGCACATTCGCCGGCTAAAATTGAGAGTTTAAGCCTTGATGCCCACGCAATTATTTTGTGCTCTCTTCTATTGAGGAAATAATCCATTCTTTTAGTTAGTACATTAGCATTTCTCGTCCTGCAACGAGAGTTTTATTCACATTTTCAATTTGCGGTTTTGTATTGTGTCGGATTGTTCAAATACGTTTTTTGATTACAAAGGCCTTGCCTGCTGCGAGATATTGTTAATTAATGTTATTTCGCTGAGGACTCTCGAGAGATGAAATCAAAATTCAAAGGGATAACATGGAAATAATACAAAAAAGGTTTTAGCCTAATATGCCTTTCAAATATTGTATTTAAGTAAAGCCGAGCCAAATTTCGCGGCCATTAAAGGTGATGAGTTTTGCTTAAGTCGAGGTTATTTTTTCTTTTTTTTTCTTTACATTTATAATTACTGCACGATTTCTTGTTTTGAAGCGGAAGAAAAAACCTATTTTTGACGATTCACTACGCTTATATAAAAACGTAAAATTTTTATATCTGAGGCTTTGGTGTTACATAAATTGTCCTCGCGCCTAGGGATTGTAAAGGAGAGTATAATGCTAAATGCCAAAATAAATCATGACAGACAACTTTAGATTTGACATAGAAATATCGATCTGACCAAAAACTGGAAAAAAAATCTCATTAGCTTTGAGTGACAGAGATATTCAAACTAACGAAAGCTCCTTATTACTGTCAGATATTACTTAACAAAGAGCTATAAACAAAAGGCTTGCATCGGTTCAAATCGAAACTGGCATTCAACTTTTGCCAGACATAGGCTATTTCAATCTCTGATTGCGTCTTTTTTTCCTACAACTTGAAATGAATTTTGCTCAATTTTATCAAAGACTTACAAAAAAAAAGAATTTCCTACGCAATTCACCCACTTTCCATTCAAAAAATACGCCACTGCAGTGTTCACAAAACAAATTCAAATCCAACCATGTTTTACGTGGGCCTAAATAAACTAATTTATTTTGACGTCATAAGGTTAAATATAGTCTAGCATAACTACCTAAATGCCAAAAGAAAACTGTTGAATTTAACCGTAAATTGTTTGTTAAAATTTTACATCTTGACCTTAATAACGGTGAAAAGATGTCAGAATTCAGGAGTTCTTATTTTTCGTGACGAAATTCGAGTTGGGGCACTGATGTATATGCTAAAACTACGGCCGAAATTGCGCGTGATTTTCATAGAATACTCAATCTCTTCATACTCTTTTCGAGTAGTACTTTTCAAAGCGCATTCAACGTACACTGTTAACAGCTAGTAATGTAATGTAGATATTTAAATGGACTTTTTGAATACTATTGAAATAGTGTGACCGCGACCGCTCGGTTCTCGTTGTTCATTTTTTTTTCTTGCGGTTCGTTGTTCCTGCTCTGAACAACCGGAATAACAGACTTCGTTCAGTTTTGAGAGGAAATCAAAACATTCAATTAAGTTGTTGAACGGACGCAAAGTGACAACAAAAATTGATAAGTTCGCTTTAGATGTGTTCTTAAATTTTGACTTGTTTTTGATGCTAACTCAAAGAGATAATACAACAAACCAACTGTTTAACACATCTAGAAAAGTGCAATTAGCCCTAAGGTGATATGATCTAGACTGCAACTCGATAGGGAAAAACTAAGTACTTACATCAAAAGCACACATTTTTTCCTTGAGTAAGCAAAAGCAATTTTCCTTTGCCTATGCAACAATAATTTTGGTTATTCAATTTGCACTTTGATCTCAATCGCTCTTAGGCTGTATTACCTAAAATGTTCGTTTCCAATTTTATGTGGTCACGTTCAAATATGACCTCATCCTACGTACCTGGTGATATCGATGATTTGTAGCAAAAAAGCGCTTTGATTTGACCACGTCAAATTATCTACGCGTGCACTCATTTTTAAAAGGGGTCAAAGGAAGCCATTTATACGAAAATTGATAGTGAATGAAATTGAAAAGTGTCCCGCAATGATGGCAAAGACGTGCTCTCCTGAGAAGCTAAATACTCAAACATTAGTTGGAAACATTTTGCATATTGATGTACTTCACCGATAAACCAGTACATACCGATATAATGTACTATGCTTGACTTACATCCAAACTCATGAAACAGAAACTGCATCAAATTTATACTAAGGCGAGCTGCCCGCGACAATGGCATAAATATCAAATCCGAAGTAATTTTAGAGTCTGCAAGTTATTATTTGGTCAGCGGTTCGCGCCATAAGAAAATGACATAAGCTACTTTGCGAAGTGTCAATTCAAGGAATATTCCCTTCAGACTGGAATTATATTTAGGATGAAAAGGAATCTCTTCAGAATATCGCTTTATACTAATCGCCTTTTTGCTGGTGAAACCATTCGAAAATGTTTTGACCATATATTTTTTTTGTAAAACACCAGCATCAGAGTATCAAAATAAAGGAATGCAGAAATTCCCCTTACATCTTCAGCTTCACAATCGAGTAGAATTGCGAATAAAAGTTATCATATGATCAAATCTGCCACCTGAAAGCGGGTATCGAATTCAACCCGTCCTCATTCAACAAGAAGCATATCTTACCTTATTTAGAGAACTCTTTACACTCGTTACTTCTGGTTATAAAGGTATCCTACAATTCACTATAGTAAAGACCCAAAGAAAGCTGTGAAAAAGACGGAATATCCTCAAACCATGCTACAGAAACGAGAAAAATGTTGCCACGAGGTGCTTTGCATAATTTTAGGACAAAAGTTATTAATTATGCATGGCCTTATATTTGCATGCCATAAACAATGTATAAATGGCGTCCTACGGAATTTCCCAAGAGGCAATTTTAGGCTTCAGATAAATAATCTGATCAGATATCAATCGGCCAATCAGTAAATTCTGTTGTTTACGCTTAATGGATCATCAGCTATCTACTGAGCTTTTAAGATTGAGCACTTAATTTCGATGCGAAAAAAAAATATATATCAGTCAAAATTTGGGAACAAAATTTGGTGAAGGGAAAGGACTTGTATAATTAATTTTCATCAGCGACCGTCTTGCAGGGTATCTTTGACATAAACTTTATATTATAGGAAGGTAAAAAAAAAAGGTGAGGCGCTTCATCAGAAACTTACAGGTTATTGTGTTTATTCAATGCGAGTAAAGTGCTCACAAACACCTTCGTTAAAGTATTCAATTGAAAAACTTTAAGAAACCACTTGTTGTTTGAGTAAAAGGTTAAAAAAAGGAAATGAAATGGGGAAAAAACAATAAGGTCAAATAAGAGGGAAGCAAAAGTAGAGATAGCTCCGATAAATCTGATTCCCTCAATTAGGGAGTTTTTACGCGTAATCGACAAAGCGTTCTTTGTCATGAATCTTACAGTTTGCCGAATGTTGGGGGATTTTAAGAGTGTTCTACCAGCCATATGTTGCTAGAGGAGTACTAGTTCCCGGTGATTTTCAAATAAACCCCTAATTTGAGCAATACTCACTAAAACAGATTAGCTTTTGTTATAAAGAAAATAGCAACCAACAAAAGGGCCCTGTTTGAAATCGGATTTTTCCAAAGATAAATTCTACTTTAGCATAACCGGTTTAAAACAACGTTAAAACTGTTGAATGGACTTCAAGGTGAGTCAAAATCCGCTGGACCTCTTTTATTTTGTTGCCGTTTATGCAAATTGCAATTGTAGGCAACTGTTTACTTGAAGATTCCACACAGAAAAAGACATGACCTCTGTTTGGTCTCACAACATCTTGCTCTTAAATTCTGGGAGCGGCAAACTATTAACATCTAAGTTTTCCCACCTTCGGCTGATTAACGAGAACTTAAAGTTATAGCTTAGATTCCAGTGCATAAACAGAAGGGCCAATTTACCGCGAAATTTTTAAGCGAAAAATCACGATATGGACTCTTTGATTTCTTAGTGCACCTTTTTTGCGAGCATGTTTTTGAACTTGAGGTTTCTTTTCTTAAAAGGAATATTACCATGTATTTAGGTCAATAAATACTCAGTATTTCTTTCCATTGCTTTTATTGACCCATCATTCTACAATATCTATGATATTTCCTGCGTGAGTAATATTTCCCAAATTAAACCCTCTTATTAATCTTTTTAAATATTAAATATCCCCATAGCGCTGTTGTCGGTTTTACTAGTTTTTGGACATTTCAGAGTTAAGCCAGTTCAACTCGTACTTCACTTTCGCGTAGACGCCAAACTTTCCAGGGCTGGCACATCCATAACCCCAGCTGGTGGCGCCATGCAGATAGAACCTTCCTCCAGTCTCACAGACCATCGGTCCCCCACTATCCCCCTGACAGGAATCTATTCCTCCCTGGTCCAGGCCTGCGCAGATCATGGAGTCATGGATCTTTCCTGGGTAGGCTCTATTACAACGAGCATAACTGACCACCGGGACCTGCACCTGCTGAAGATAGTCTGGAGTAGCACCCCCGGAAGCAAGTCGGCCCCAGCCTGTGATCCAGCATCTGGTGCCGTCGGTTGGTGCAGGAACAGATTGGGGAAGACAAACCAGGTTCACATACCTAAAGGTCAAAAAGACCAGTGTGGGGGTATCAATGTTGTCCGGTTACCTCATAAATATGGCGTTCACTTACAACAACGTAAACTTTTAAATAGTCAATCATCGAGAGGTTATCCATAAATTTGATTATGTGTTTGTATGTACTGATATATGGAATAAATAAACTTTTAAAAATAGCTGTGTCATAAAACTGCCATGTTTGGGTCAATTTATAGAAAAATGCTTATTGTAGTGGTAAACCTGATTTGTTATTTGAAGTTGTTATTGTTCCGTTGATATAGAAGAAAGATCTTCTGAACAAAACTGGTTCTCTTTGATCAGAAAGTGAATGTAGCTATCATCTAGAGTCATTAGTTATTGTTTCCTTGCTCTAGTTTCCAATAGTAATACTTGTAATACCTGTTTAATTGAGCTGGTCTCTCCAGTTTCAGTAAGGCGATATCGTTGCTGTATCGTTTCGGTTGGTGATATTGCGGATGTGGAATTACTTTGGAAACTCGAATGTCCTGTTCAGTTCCAACCACATTAACACGTCGGTGGGCACCAAGTCTAAAAAGGAAAAGACCAGGGTTATAAAAAATTTCATACCACTCATATAGGACAAGGTCAACCCTGAGAGCGAAACTTATTCGTCGAAATCTAATGTAACAACTCTTTTATATGCACTCTAATAAATTCATGATAACCTCAATCCTCGATATTTTTGGAAAGCTTAGTATGTTGACTTTCTTTCGTACATAAGTTTTTCGACTGATGATGACCAAGAAAATATTGGGAAAAAAAGAAATATTTTAAAAAAATATTTCTTTTATAACAAAACTATTCGATCAGCATCTTTAGCTACCTTGTCGAAAGCCTGCTCATGATTCTTGTGCAATGGAGAAGCTATAGTTCAGTCGTGTTACGTATGAAAAGTTCGACAAGAAATAGGTGTTATATTTACATCGTGTGGCAAGCTTGACCGTACCTTATGACAATGGAGTTGGGTGATTTTCCTTCGATGCAATGAGTAGCAGTTACAATCCATTCAGGATGGACGAGTGATCCACCGCAATAGGGGAAACCACCCGGGGTACGCAGCTGAACCTGCCACGGCCAATCTCC